GCCTCAGGCCACAAGGACATCCTGTGGTGACCCCTAACTGCCCAGGGTAACAGTCATTCCCTTAATGTCCCTAATGAGTGTAACAGAGATACCGCAGCAGGCTTTGCAAAGTTAGCTTTTCTTTCTTCTCATTTCTGAAGCTGTGGCCCAGAGTTATGCCCTGCCTAGGAAACAGTTTCCTTTTCAGCCTTTTCCTGGAATGGTTTAGAGAAGTTCGTCTCCAGGGTCCTCCCTTGCATGGATGGGTGGTCATCTCCGGCTGCTGCAGAGCCTCCCACTCCTTCATCGGCCCCGCAGATGAGCCGTTCTGAACATATCCCTGTGTTGGCTCAGTTTGATGTAACCTGCATATTCGACCAGGGGTGCTTGGTTGGCTCTTTGCAGAGGGCTGGGTGGTGAGACAGGAGATCCAGCCACTGTTGTGGTGGGACAGGCAGTCCACCCACCACCCGACATCTCCTTGGGCACTGACTACAACCTGCCCATCCTTCAGGTTGTGTTTAAAGCCCATGGAGGTGGCAAGAAAAGGTTAGAAGTGGGGTAAAGCTCTTTTTAAGGGTAGAAATGGGATCTGGGTGACTGAGTGCATGTGTCTAATGGCACCGAGGAACATTATGGCACCTTGCAAAAAGGAATTGCCACCCACACACAGGTCTCCAAAACATCCAAGGTTGCAGTGTGCTGATCCTACACACATTTTCCAGCCTGTACCTGCAATTCCTTTCAGAGCCCTCTGCAAATGGGCCCTGGGGGTGACTCCAGTCCATGCCCTGCTGTCCCAGGACACTGACGCTTCTGACCCATCAGCCACGCTGACTTCTCCGGGAGGTGATAAATAAGGCAATGGCCATTGCTAACAGAGATACTTCTCCATGGGATGTCCAATTTTGTGCCTCCTGAGTATCGTGGCAGTGATGATCCCCTGGGAGGGGTCTCCTGAGGGAGGCCCTTGGTGGAGGTTCAGTACGGAGGACACCAAAGGGTGGGTAGATGAAGGGTGGGGGATCCGTGTCTGGGCAGGTAGCAGTTTGCTTTGTATCGTCCTCCCCTACTCCCCAGTCACGGCCATGACGCTGAGCGCAGCTTACATCTCCCCCCACTCCCAGTCCTGGTGGGGCTGGACTCTGCCCCTGGAGGGTCTGCAAGAGCAGCTGGGGCTGCTTGGCTGCCTGTGCTAGATCCAGAACCCCAAGGATCCTCAGGGGCTCTAGCGTGGATCCCTTTATACAAAAACATGTCAAGCTGTGAGCTGCCTCCATCCCTGTTATGACTGATGGATTCTCCCCAGCTCAGGTTATTCCCTGGGATCCCTTCCTTACCTTTATCTAGACAGAGTTTGCAGCCAATTAATTCATTGTCGAAGGGGAGGATGAGAGATTTTGGATGCTTCATATCAGCAGAAGATGCTGAGATGAGAAGGCCAAGGGGTAACACAAGATGAGTCTGCTTTGCATCAGCCGTGGTGGGCTGAACCACGGAGATGCTGGCAGTCATTTGCAAAGACTCGGAGTGCTGAAGTGCAGGTATCTGTGCTGGGCTACTGTGACAGTCACTGGGAGAAGGCAGCAGAGAAGAACAAGCCACACAAGAAGACTCTGATTGCTCCTCCCATCTTGCATCCACCCCTTGCAGAGAACAGGTCACGATGCTCAGCTCATACATGATCTCTTTGTTCTCCCTGGAAGGTGCAAGCAAGTTTGGAGACTGCGAGGCAGTCACAGGCTAGTGTTTCCAACTGCTTGCCTTCGAATAATGAAGTAATTTTCTGCCATCTAGCTGCATATCTGTGAAATGCAATGCAAGGAAATTCACGGTGCAACCATGTCTGGCTTTGTCTGTTGACCTTCTCCAGCAGGCAGCTGCAAATGAGTTCTTCAAAATCAATATCTATGTGTGCTGCAGCAGCCAAAATAAACTCAACAAAACCTTGCATACCCTAGGAAGACCACTGAGGACAAGACAAACCAGGGGGTATAATTTTACTGCACTATACAGTCATGATTCTTCCACGCCTTTTGTAGTGTGTGTAGTGCTGGTCACCACATCTCAGAAAGGGTGTACTACAACTAGAGTGGGTCCAGAGGATGCACGAAAGGCTGGGAGCCTCTGGAAGCTGCTGCCCCAGGGAGGGTTGTGGGGGCTGATCTGTCAGCTGATCAGCAAAGAGAAATTAGGCAAAAACATGAATAATGCATCTAAAAGCAGATGCTAAAGGGAACATGCTTAAGATGAGGTCTAGATGCTTGGAGGCTGCAGACCATCAGAAGTGGTCTGGTTTGCATGTTGACCTCACCTCCTGGCTGGGTTGGATCAAACACGTCTCAGACCCAGCAGGAAATGCTGTACAACTTATCTTTAACTCTTAGGAGTTAAAGGTAAGTAAGTTATACAATGATCTCTTGGTCAAAATGGGCATCCCTCAACCCCAAACTTGCTTGCATGTCTCTGCTCACAGAACCCTTAAAAATGGGTCCATGAGGGATGTCGGCATGGCTTGCAGTCCAAGACTGTCCAAGCTGTGATGCCTGCAAAGCTCTTGCACCCTTCCACCACTGAGACTATGGACACACAATTCCCCCCCCCTTTCCACTTGCTCTCAACAAATGCAGTGAGGGTTGGGTTTCAAAATGCAGCTGCTGGGATAGAAATGCTGGAAGTGGAGCATGGTTTGAGGGGGGTCTTTTTTGCCCTCTGTGTACTGTCTTACTAGCCCAAAATTACTTGTTTACCCTGGGCATCAGTGATTTCCACTTTTCCATCATGCATTCCACACCTTGCAATACTTCACAACCCAGCCCATTATATGCAAGCCTGCAGGGGTACAACCTCACTCTGCTTTTTTTGCTTCGCAGTTCTTGCATGGTGCTTACATGGCTTCACAAGGAGATGTTGGACCATCCAGGCTCAAGTTTCCAGGCTGAAGGCTACTAGTAGCTATGCAAGGAAATCATGGTGGCAAGATGTTGTGCCTCCATGCTGTGTCATCCCAAGAGCTGCACCTTAACTACCAGGGGGGGTGACAAACCTTCCTGCAGCCCCTAAAATGACATTCAGACTACAGGGAGCTGGAGGCAGGCAGGGAAGCTATTGGGTCTCCTCTTCTCGGCATGAGCCTCCCACAGTGACAGCAGAGAACTGAGAAGATGGGGGAGCTCTTGTTAGGAAAGGCTTAAACTTTGCAGCTACAAAAGGTTGAAAATTAATTGTCATCTTCCACTGCAAGGCAGTAAGAATTTTATATAGGGGCCGGGCTGTATCCAGCGGAGCAATGTGGACTGTGTGGGACCAGGAACTGCCCAGGGTGGGAGTTTGAGGCAAGGACTCGCCTGTGGAGGATGGGTTACCTTCCTCCCTGGCCAGGAGCTGAGAAGGGAAAGGGGCTGCACAGTCCTTGGCTGAGGCTTCGGGAGGTGCTGAGCTCCCCTCTTTGCTCCCTCTGCCAGACATGACCATGCCCAGCTCCATCATCTCTGATTTGTCCTGGCCCCAGTGTCCTGGCCCCAGGGCTCAGTGATGCTCTGCTCTCCTTGCACCAGCCCCAGGGTCTGGACAGGCTCCTTGCCTCCAACCCCAGCCTCGGGATGCAAAAACCCACAGGGCCCCGTTACACTCCATCCCACTGCTTGCAGGTGACAATATTCACTGAAAACCTGAATTATAATTGGAGCATAGGGACATGTCCTGGTTTTGGCTGAGATAGAGCTAATTTTCCTTCTTAAGAGCTAGAATAGTCCTGTGGTTTTGATTCAGTATGGGATTTGGTATCAGAAGAACGTTGATAAACCAATTATGTTTTCAGCTGTTGCTAAGAAATCAAGGAATTTCCAACTTCTCGTGGTCTGCCTGTGCACAGGTGTACAAGAAGCTGGGAGGGAGCAGAGCTAGAGCACCAGACACAAATTAGCCAATGAAATATTCCACATCATATAACATCATGCTCAGTGCATAGAGGAGGGTTGGCCAGGAAACTGGATTGCAGTTTTGGGATTTTCCCTTCTCTGGGATTGCTAGCTGGGACCGGGCCGGGTATTGGTCAGTGGGTGGTGCGCAATCGCATCATGCATCACTCATCTGTATATTCTATTGTTACTATTATTAGTATCATTATTATTTTATTTCATTTCAATCAAATTGTTTTTATCTCAATCTACGAGTCTCCCTAACCTTTACCCCTCCAGCTGTGTGTTTGGCTGCTGACTGGGTTTAAACCACAACAGAATGTTTAGTACAAACCTGGGAGTTTGTGCTAAACCATCACCCACATCAGATTGGTCTGTAAATTCCCCAAATTCCCTTAAACTAAGGATGAGAATCAACACAACAGGGGGGTGCCTGAAACCTGAGTGTATTTGCAGCTTAATCTCAGTGGCTACAGCGGTTTCTGGACCACCATCCTCTTATTCTTTATACTAGGTGATACTCCCAGAGTACAGGCTGTGCGTTCATATGCGCGATGGCTTCAGTGACATGACTTTGGTACAGTCCAGGCAGAGCATGCTATTCAGTGTACACAACCTCTCAAAACTCCTTATTTTGTCAGGGGAAAGGAGGCTTCTTGCCCTCTGCAAGCACTCTGGGGGTGTCTCTGTATAGCGGGGATTCACCTCTGGATACCTGTGAGATGAGACTCGGCTTTTCCTGAGGGTGTAAACCTCCATGAGGAGCATTGCAAACCCTCCTGCTGCCGGATCCAGAGCCCAGAGCTGGCTGGGGGAGGTTGGGATGAAATGGGGCAGATGCAGCTGGGAACTGGGGAAACCTGCTAGCAAACATGGCTCAGGTGCTGGGGGGTGGGCACTTAAACCACTTAAAACCAGAGGGCAAAATCCTGGGGACAGCAGGGAGGAGGGGTCAGTGCTGGAGGAGGGTTGAGTGCTGGGAAAACTCAGGGCACGTCGCTGCGGAGGAGGGTTCAAACCTGCTCTTGCCACCCACGGCACCTAGATCAGCTTGCAGCTTGCATGGGGATGGTCACCCATCCTAAGGCATTTGTGATGGGAATGGGGTTCTGGGGACGCTGTTTCCTGTCCCTGCACAGCAACCTGGCTGCCTTCACTGGAGCAGGGCTCCTCCTCTACCTGGCGTGCCTTTGTGGTGAGTGGCTCTTGCGTGGGGGAAGGAGCATCCTAGGAGAAAGAGGGGGTTGGTGATCTGCAGGAATCTGGGGGGACTGGGCTTGCAGATGGATAGGGAAAAGCTTCCTTTGATCCACCAGCCTTTAAAAAGGAAGAGAAAGCAGCGGATGGGGAAGGAGACCTTGTTAGCCAGGTAATTAGCCTGGCCTCTGCACTGCTGCCCTTGCACAGAGGGGTTGGGAAATGCTTGGAGCCTCACCAACCAGTGACAGTCAAGACCAGAAATTGCTTATTTGTGTTGGCCACCTCTTCAGGGCTGGCCAGTTTGTTTACAAAGGGCACAAAGTCCTTATCCCTGCAGCGCAAACAGGAGCATTTATTCTGCTCTGCACCCTGCAGTCACAAAGCGTTTCCAGGAGGTGACCAATTGTGTTGCAAGTGGGATGCCAAGGTGCTTTTTTTATTTTTTGCTGCTTCTGCCTGCCCCGTTTTGTATCCCCTTCCCCAGGGGATGCTGCAGCCTCTACCCAGACCCCAACCTGGGCATCCCACAGTGGCTTGGCCACTCCAGTGCTTATTGCCACAGCAATTAAATGCTCATGTTTACCTTTCTTGCTCTAGCTTCAGTCCATGTAATGCCCTCCTCTAAGATGCAGCTCCATTTGGTGAGGGGCCATAAGCAAACCTGCTGCACAGGCTCCCTATCGCATCATGCGAATCGCTAATTACAGTACCAGGCTGCACACAGACAGACCCACCTTTCCTTCGGACAGCTGGCCGCTACTCACTGCATACAATCTCCTGGAGTTTTCAGTCCAGCTGGCAGTGTTTTCCTCTTTATTGATTGGAATACTAAGCAAAAAAGTACTGAAGCCCCTTTAAAGATAACTGTATTTCAAAAAGGGGTTTGCAGAGCATTTTCTTTCATGGGCTTGTATTTTTTGTTTGTTTGTTTGTCTTTGAGCCAAAAGAGAAGCACATCCATGGTTCACATAAGGCACTGTTTGCAGAGGCTCCAGGGAGCTCATGCAGGCGACACAGCCTTTCCTGGTGCTGCTTTTGTGCACCAGACCCTCTCCATATCCCTCTTGCAGACCCAGTTGCTTCCCAGCGGGCTCCCCTCCGCCTATCAGATGGCCCACACCGCTGCGCCGGCAGGGTCGAGGTCTTCTACGAGAACCAGTGGGGAACAGTGTGTGATGACCACTGGGACATGGAGGATGCCGGCGTAGTGTGCCGGCAGCTGGGCTGTGGCACAGCCTTGTCCATCCCTGGGGCCGGGCATTTCAGGGCAGGGATCGGTCCCATCTGGCTCGACGATGTCAATTGCACGGGGACGGAGGTCGCCCTGTCTTACTGCAGGACGAAGGGCTGGGGAAAGAACAACTGCCACCACGGTGAAGATGCCGGCGTGGTATGCTCAGGTAATGCCCTGCAGAAATTATGGGGTGGGGGTAACAATGACACATGGTCTGCAAAGCAGTTCCCTTGCAAGGAGTGTTGCCCCCCAGTTTTCCAAAAGCTTCCTGTGGCACAGAACACCCACGGCCCCAGCAAGGGATAGTTCTGTGGTTTGTCCCGTACAAGGAACTGCAGGCTGGGGAACAATTTGGGAAGCAGGTTTGAAGACGTTATCTGTGCTAATTCCACCTTCCCGAGATGCTGAACCACCTCTGGGAGAGGCGTAGGGACCCCTTGCACATCACGCACACCTCTGTGATGAGCAGGACCAGGCGTGCCTTGCTTCGGCTGTCTGTTCTGGGGGCACCGGTGAGGCTAGAGACGCATTGTGGTTTGCAGGAGGCACTGCGAGGTGCAACCTGAGGCAGGGAAGAGAACGGCCAGGAGGACACGCCCAGATTCCTCCTCCCAGTCACCAACATGAGAGACAGGATGGTTCCCATGCTCTTGCCTCTGGTGAGCTGCAATCAGCTAGAGAGCATTCTTTTATGCCCACAAACTGTGAGACTCCAAAAGCTTGGAGCTTTGGTGGCTGATCAAGGTGCTCATGGCAGCTGGTAGATGCTGGGTTAACCACCAATGAATCACAGAATCACAGAATCGTCTAGGTTGGAAAAGACCTTAAAGATCGTCTACTCCAACCATTAACCCAATGCCACAATTGTCCCAACAGACGTTGGCACACAAGTGTGCTGAGCCCCCTTGGTTGTCACCTCCACCTGCAAAGAGGATGTGGTGCCCCATGAACCCCAGGAAAAAAAGATTTCCTCCTTCTGCCATCCCAGCATCAACAGGATCCCCAGCCACATCTGGAAAGATCACAGGTTTCTGGGACCACGTGGCATCACCCCTGTCCCAGCCCAAGTTGACTACACACTGGTGACCACTGAGTGCAATCAACAACAGTAGTGGAGTGCAGAACAGTCCTGCAGAAATGATGGCTAGGAGGTTTTCATGCTGCACCTCTTGTGCCCTCTGTAGACTCATCCAGCCGCCCTACGGCCATCCACGCCCATCCTGCAGAGCTCCGCCTGGTAGACGGCCCCCACCGCTGCTCTGGAAGAGTGGAAGTGATGCATGACCACCAGTGGGGAACTGTGTGTGACGACGACTGGAGCTTCCCTGACGCCAGCGTGGTGTGCCGGCAGCTGGGCTGCGGGATGGTGGTCTCCGCCTATGGCAGAGCTCACTTTGGCAGAGGCTCGGGCCCCATTTGGCTGGACAACGTTCTGTGCAGTGGGACCGAAGCTGCCCTGTCTGAGTGCCTGGCCAGACCTTGGGGTGTCCACAACTGTGACCATGGAGAAGATGCCAGCGTCGTGTGCACAGGTAACATCATGCTTGTGGAGGAGTTCAGTGGAGGATGCTCTGCTCCAGGGATTTGGATTGGTTTCACAGCTGCAGCCGAGGGCTGAGCAGCAGACACCTGGGTGGGTGACCTTGTCCCCCTTGTCCCAGCTCCAACAACATGCCGCGCTGGCACTCCTTAGCGCACAGGTCTGTGAAAGTAAGGAGCAGCGGGGATAATAGGAAGGGAACAGTGCCCTTCGGGCAACATGCAGAAAGTGCGCTCGCATGGCCACCAAGGAGCGAGGGGAAGCACCGGACTGGGCGCTAGATGGTCCTTGCAAGGTCCCAACCCACTATGCTACGGGGACCAGGAGCCCACAGGCTGTGCAAAGGTGGGATGGGGGAGCCCTGAAGTCTTTTTGAAGAATGCGCAGTGGCAAAGGGGGTCTGCAGAAAGTGTCTCCCTTTGTGGCGGTGCCACGGCCATGTGAAGGGGCCACCCAGGAGTTCTGAAAAATGGATTGCAGACGTTCATGGTTTGCTTATGCTCATGTTGAATGGGCACAGGCTCTGAGATTGCATGGCTAGTTTTGCCCACACCTGAGATGTTCAGCCCCACATTTTAGATACTCAACGGCTCTTTGTGGACAGGGGAGCCCCCACTGTGCAAAACACAGCAGAGCAGCCTCTGGCATGGGTCTCACCATGGTGGCAAGAAGAAGTACCCTGGGGGAAGAGTGGGTCTGATGCTCCTCTTGTGTCTTGTATCACAAGCAGGTACAGCCACTGACGCACCAGCTCATCTCCGCCTGGAGAACGGCCCCGGTCGCTGCGCGGGTCGCGTGGAGGTGCTCCACCACCATCACTGGGGGACAGTGTGCGACAACGGCTGGAGCCTGGCCGAGGCGGCAGTGGTCTGCCGGCAGCTGGGCTGCGGAACGGCTGTCTCGGCCCTGGGCTCGGCTCACTTTGGGCAAGGGTCTGGCCGCATCTGGCTGGATAACGTGAACTGCACGGGGACAGAAGCCGCCCTCTCTGAATGCCAAGCCAGGCCGTGGGGATCCAACAGCTGTGACCACCAGAAAGATGCTGCTGTGGTGTGCTCAGGAGATCCACGTTAGTCGGAATAAGTACTGTGGGGGCTGGGGTGCAGGAGCAGCTCAGTTGCATCCCAGGTAGCCAGGGATGGGTGCCTTTACCCCAGTCTGATTTTAAAAATTTAAATTAAATTGAGAGAAGGGTATGAATGCCACAGTAGGTAATACTTTTCCCTGTGGTAGCGCAGGTTGTGAGACCCCAGCATGCTGTTAAGATGATTTTGTGCAGGAAGAGCAAGCCCATCTCCTACCTCTCCCCTTTCTGATAGCTCTAACTACACAAATTCATCAGGTGATGCCTCCTACCACCTCCCATAGGCACTGTTGACCCCTGGACCCTCCAATAGTCACTACTGACCTCAGAAACCTTTGCCAGGCTCCAGGCCCCACGCTCTAGGTCCCACTCCAGTGAGAAGAAAATCCCAAGCCAGCGCTGTCGGTGTAGCACCTTTCCCAGGAAGCTGGAGGTTGCACTCATGGAAAGATGCTCGGATATTCCCACAGCTTAGCATGTTGCACAGGCCAACTAGAGCCGTGGATGATGGTCAGGCATGAACATGCCCCTTGTTCCCTTCACAGACGTGAACACTTCAAGGCAGCACACACTGCGGCTGGTGAATGGCTCAAGTAACTGCCTGGGGAGAGTCGAGATCTTTCATGATCACAAGTGGGGGACCGTGTGTGACGACACCTGGGACCTCCACGATGCTGCTGTCGTGTGCAGGCAGCTGGGCTGCGGGATGGCGCTGTTGGCACCGGGCTCAGCTCATTTTGGGCCAGGGGAAGATCCCATCTGGCAGGACGGTGTTCACTGCAAGGGGACTGAGTCCGCCCTCACCGAGTGTGAACTGAGCAGCTGGGGAGAGCACAACTGTGCCCACAGTGAGGATGCAGGCGTGGTGTGCTCAGGTAACACCAGGCTGCAAAGACCAGGGCGGGTGAGCCAGGATGGTTTGTGTTGATCAAAGGAGGGTCTTGACTGGTGCTGGAGCTGCTTTTCTACACCAAGACTGTGCCAGGCTTTCTCCTCTCTTCTCACTCTTCCCCATTCCCATCATCACAGCAGAAGTCGGCTTTCACCCAGCCACTTGGCTTAGCATTGAGCAAAAATGCCCCCCTGCCTTAGGCAGGAGTTGTGCACCTAACTCATATTGTTTTAATCTAGACTATGTCCCTCTAGTTCATCAATGACAGCATCCTGGGATGGGAAAAGCCTTGCTTACAAAAAAAAAAAAGAATACAGGCTCATCTTTCCTAGATACAGAAGTCCAGTGCCACCAGAGAAGTGGGCATTGGTGTCCCATGCACCTCATCTCACAGATACCAGCCCTGCGGTGACCTTGCTTATTAAGGCCTCTTGTAAGGATGAAGTAAGGCAATCCATGCCCTGTAGCTTGGTCAGAGGCACTGGTGGCTTGCCTTCATCAGGGCACCAGAAAAAAATGCTTGGGAACAATCCAGAAGCTTGCATCACCATATGAGGTTGGAGGGGCCACCTCAACCCTTGTGCTCTTCTTTGCAGGCACAAACCCCTTGCAGCTGCGGGTGAAAGATGGTCCCAGTTCCTGTGTGGGGCGGGTGGAGGTGCTCTACAACGGGACCTGGCACGGAGTGTGCGGCAGCGGCTGGAGCCTGCTGGAAGCTGGGGTGGTCTGCAGGCAGCTGGGCTGTGGGCCAGCCCAGTCGGCACCTGCTGGAAACCAGTTCAGCCGTGGGGACAGCCATGCTTTGCTGGAGGGGCTGAGCTGCCAGGGCACCGAGACGCTGCTCCTGGAGTGCCACCAGAGAGGGATGAGTCCGGGGCCGTGCAGGCAGGGCTCAGCGGCCGGCGTGGTCTGTGCAGATCAGAAAGGTGAGCACCAGGATCTCCCATCAGCTGCTCTGCCTGCATTGCGGCCAACCCAGTGCAGACACATGGTGGAGGCTCCTGTCTCCATCCCAGAAGTGTTGCCATAAGCCTTTTTGCTGGGAGATGTTAGGTGGGCAAGGTAGAGGTGCCTGAAGACAGTGGCTGTAAGGCAGTGGAGTGGGACCAACTGTGTGAAGGCATCTTGGTGGGCATGGAGAGCTGAGCATCCTTGGTGGACACACTCTGTTTGCATCAGCCCAACCACCCTCAGGAAGCAGAGGGTGAGCTGTCACTCCTGCTGATGAGAGTCAGGCCCAACAACAAAAAAGGGCGGTGAGGGAGGATGTTGCAAGTCCCCAGAAACATGCAGTGGAAAAGAAGGGTGAGAGGGGCAGAGAGGGTCAGGCCATCCAACCAACTCCCTCTGAGCTTCACTCTTCCTGTAGACCTTACACAGTCCTGCTCGGTGCTGGCAGGCCTGCTTGGCACAGGGGCAATACTCTGTGGGACCCTGTTGGTCCTGTACCTGTGGACGAGGTGTGGAAGACGGACTGGACGCTCCCCAGGTAAGAGCAGGACCACAACTCGTGGTGCGCCTGGGCTGCTTGTGGAGCTGGCTGCACTCCCCTTCTGTACATCACCCTGCTCCTTCATTTTGCAGACAAGCCACTTCTAAAGAAGACAGAGGACACCGAGCCATCATCCGAGGCTTAGGCGGCCGTGCTCCTGGTGTCGAAGACAAAGTTGCCTCAGAACCCCAGAAGACCCCATTCTGTGGAACAAGAATAGCAGAGCAGTCGCTGCGATGGTCAAGCAGAGAGGACCCCGCTCTGGCAGAGCGGAGACCCCTGCCCTGTGTGCCCCATAGCCCCCAGCTCACTGCACCGAGCCTCTGTGTGTCCCGGTTTCTCCATGCAGCACCACAAAGTCCCTCAGACCCCAGGCAGAGTCTTCTCAAAATAACTCCTATCTGGTCCCCTGGGTAGGGTCCAGCATCCTAAACCCATCTGCACAGACTCCTCTTATTCCCAGCCCTATAGCCCCTTATAATCCCTACAACTCCCTGCGGAGTCAGCTGCAGTGGCACCTGGTGCCATCACCCTCTCCGCAATCCCTGCGGGATCGCACCTTTCCCCCTAATCTCCCATGGAATTGAGGATTACTTCCTGATCCAGACACAAGCAAGCGCGGGTGCTCTCCTGAACTGTACACAACCATCTTTGCAAAATGAGGAGGCCGCTTAAAAGCCTATCCAGAACAGGGCGAGAAGTCTCTCACTCGTATTTATTCAATCCACTTTCGAATACCAGTAAAACCCTGGAACACAAAAGAACGAGAATGCAGTGTGATAACAGATTCAGAGATATGGAGTAATTTGGCAAGGTGAAGTGGTGGAAAAATAGGCTCCTTGGGTATAGAGGGACTGTAGATGATGGGTTCAGATACAGAAGACTCAAAATTGCTAATGCTGGGTGAGATACTGTCCTGGCCACCAGCAAGGAAGGGTCACTTTCCTAATGGAGCAACCCATGGAGTCAGGTCTGAGCCTCAAACAATCCAGCACTTGGTGAAGCTGGGAGGAGCCACGTCCCAGTGCCATGGGGAGGGAATGAGGGGGCCACAGGTTACTCTGCAGAGATGCTCTGCAGGGACTGCAGTGTCCCAAGAAGGGGTTTCAGACTACCTGGGCTGACACAACACCCAAATTCAAAAGGAGCAGAAGGAACATAGGCCCATGACTCACTTCTAAGAGTGGCTGTTTATCCAAACTGTGAAAACAGCCCCAGCAGAAAGGTCCTTGCCCAGGGCTGCATCAGGCTATGAGAGTTCGTAGCATTTCCATGCCAGTCGGTGCAGCGTGGTTGTTTGCAAAGGAGGGGAACAAAGTCCTTGAGGCCACTGAGCCTCGGTACAAACGCATACAGTCACCTTTCTCAACTGCTCAGCTTTTTATGATAAGAGTTTTGATATATTTCCAGGCTAATTTTCACCTGCTCATTCTTCTGCTTTTGTTTAGGGCACCTCTTGTTTCCTTCTGGTCTTCAGCCCTAGCTCTGCATGCCTCGCTGGGGTTTGGGTTTCTCCTGTTTGATCTCCCTACAGGCAGCAATCTACTCTTCACTCTACTACCCCTCTCAGGTTTTGCTGAACAGATTAAACTCAGTCTGAGACCTTCCTCGCCATGCTGTCCTCTTCTCATTGCACGCTCCAGTTTTGCTTCTTATTTTTGCACAGACATGGGCAGAACCATCCACCCTGTTTCTGTCAGGGGTCACATCCTCGCCCAATGCAATCTCCATCTCCAGTGTACCACCAGCACAGCACCCACCTCTGTCTGAACACTCCTATTTGGAGAAACAAGTGATGTTAACTTGATGACCCTTTCGAAAAACTCATTCTTTCCAGTGGCATGCTGCTCTGCCTTCAAGTCCTTTCCTTGCGCAACTTGAGCATGCCGCCATGAAGGGATGGGAGGACAGCGAACGCTTCCATCCTCTCAGCACCTCGGGACATGCTTGGGGAGCAATTTGCAAGGGACATGCCTGGAGCATCATCTGCATAACAGCAATCGGGAAGTAAACTGCTTATCCAAAGGGGACCCTTGGGGTCTTGCAAGTGCAGCCACAGTAGGATAAGAAAATGGCAGTTCCTGTTTTTTCCAAATCCAACTGAGCTGTTCAGGTGTGAGACCCTTTCTCACCATGGATGGTGTCCAGGCTCACCTGATGGCAAACAACTACAATGCAGGCGCTGGTTCCACCCTCCACGGTAAAGTTATCTCCAGCCTACAGTAAGCTATTCTCTTGCAGCAGATGGTCCCTCACCCCCAAAACCCCAACCAGACACTTTCTAATGAAGCTAATGTAGCTATATTTCCCCAGTTCTGTGCATAAAGGCCGGATTTAGCCTGTTGAAAGCAGATATCTTGTACCAGTATGCGTCAGAGCAGTTGAGGTGCCCACAGGGGATGGCACGTACGAGACGAGACCAGAGTGTTGAGAGTGTTTTGTTTGCTGCATGTTTTCCTGGAACAGCTCGCCATTTCGCAAGCTGATGACAAGACTGGCCGCTCCATGGGGCAGCGGGTCAACTCCTGGCAGAGCTTCACAGGAGGTGAAACTCCCAGTGGGGAGCGGGGCAGCGGAAGAGGAGGGCTCACTCAGAAATCCCAGTCTGCCCTCCTAGTTGGTCAGTGGGACACCAGGCTCAGCTGGCATCTCTCACAAAGACAGTTTACTGCAACCTCCAGCCCGTAGCCAGTCTGCGAACATGGGGGTGCCAGCTGATCTCCATCTTTCATCCAGTCACCCCAGGGGCAGAAACCAACCCACCTGTGGTAGGACCAAGAGCAGTGTGACTGTCCTCTTGATGGCGTGTCTTTGGGGTGAGTGGTGTTCACCTTTGCTGCTGACTGTGGGGAGCCCATTGGCCACGTCAGCTCCTCCAGCCTACTCAGCACTTTGTGGAGCACAGCAGAGGCTGGTCGGCAGTCCTGGGTTTCACTCGGGGGTCTGGGGTAGGGAGGGATGGTTTATGATGGCTTTGGAGCTGGGTGAAAGGTTTTTTACATGAGCTCAGCTATCTCTGCTGCATTCCAAGAGTCATGCATTGGAGGTCTACTTCTGCACACGTGGTTTTGCCCCATAATCAAAGGCTTGTGCCACATAATTAAAGGCTTGTGAGCATTACAAGAGCGGAGGGAAGCATGCCTGATCCTGAAGCTGTCTCACAGCTGGCCATAGCCTCCTGTCCTGCTATAATCTTGGCTTATCCTGGACCGTACATGGCAAACTCATGGTTTTCCAGCACTGAGGAGGCTTGGTCAAACCCATCATCAGTGTGCGTTAACAGAGGTGACTCCCCATACGACAGAGAGATGAGAAAGTAGGGCCCCACATTGCCAGGACAGGGTGGGCTGGCTGAGGGATGCGCAGCACAAGGAACTGAATAATTTTTGGGCTAACAGGGCAGACAGGCAAGATGCTGGCAAGAGACACATCCCTTCTTGTGCTCAGAGCCGTAAGGAAGCTGCAGACCCTGTAGGTCCCTTATCCACAGCCATGGTTTGCTCTCAGACATTGGTGTAAGGATGGGGAAGAGCTCTGCTGCAAGAGCAGTAGCGTGCTGATGGTTCAATGGCAGCTTCGCTTTGGAAATGGTTAAGGGCGGGCTCAGGGCTTTGCCCAAGCTGCCCCAGGTCAGAGCAGAAGCTTTGATTTGGGCAACCCTCTTAGTGCTGGTTCACATTTACAAAGGGCATGAGCAGAAACACTCATCTGATCAGGTTTGGAGTAAGCAAAATTAGGAACTTGCTTTTCCTGCTGGTAGTGATTTCATTTTAATTTCCAGGCTGATTAGTTGCTAAGGCCAGTTTGTACCACTGCCTCTTGGAACTAAAATGTTGCTTTAACTGGCTTAGGTTTCCTCCTTCTTTGTTGATTCATGAACAGTACAATTTTCCCACTTCTTTTTTCTTTAAATTCTGCTCCTGGAAAATCCAGTACGGCATTTGCCCCTTCACCAGTCAGTATCTCCTGGCTGGCTGGAGACATCTGGGATGGGACTTGTCCACCCAAGCACAGTCAATGCACAAGCGACCAGGCAGTGCTTGCAAGAAACATGCCGAGAAATCTATCAATCAGCTGCAGGGTTGATTTATTGTTTATCACAGGGTAGCCTCATCACTCCTAGTAAAAACAAGGGAGGAGAGGAAAAGACGCACAGGGCAAGGGTGAAGCAGAAGAGCCAGCCATCAGCAGGACTGTGCTCTTACCCCAGGGACAAGAGAGCTTGCAAACTGTAGACAGAGTTCCCCCTGTGCATCTGGTTCAGCCTCCTCATAGAAGTGAATTTTGAGAGGTGGCTTTGCAAAGGAACTTTACTGCAAATACACTTCACTGCAAAGATGCTTTCCTGCTCCCCGCTGCACGACCTGGATGAAAGAGTTGAGCTAGGCACGCCTGCACGCAGCATGCCACAGCTGCTCAGACGCGGTTTGTGTTTGGATGACTCAGGGATTCGATTTTTAACCTGTTTCATCCTCTTCTGGCCCCCATGACTTCCCAAGTGCTACATCTGGCCCCTCACTTGCCGATGGCCAGACCCATGCGCAGATTAGTGCCTGAGCAATTCAGAAATCATTATCCATGGTCAACAAGCTTATTTACACAATGCAATCATATCTCTCTTGAACTTTTTTTTTTCTGCTGACCCAGTTGAGCTTTCCACATGACTAATGCCCAGTTATGTCTCCTTTCTGCACCATTTCCCTTCGGGTAACGCTCTTGCAAAAGCACGCCCATGGGACCAGCAGCAATCTCATGTCTTGCACATTACAGAATCACGGAATCATCTAGGTTGGAAAAGACCTTGAATATCATCTAGTCCAATCATTAACCTAACACGGACAGTGCCCAACTACACCATAACCCTAAGCGCTATGTCAACCTGAAATTGCCAAGACCCTGAGCGCAAGCACTTTTCCACTCATTCCCACAAACTTGCCACTCAGCTGGACCCCAAGACATTACCCACTCTTGATGGGGAAGCTACATCTTTGCTGCTGGCCACTTGTACAAAAGCATGCATGAGCTAAATACCCATTTTCTGTGCCTGTTATGTGAGCAAGAAAAGCGTTTCTGGGGTGTGGGAGCCACACTGAGGCTAAAATGGATAAATCTAGGGTTTAGATGCAGAGAAGGGTCTCAGCTGACTACAGATGCCCAGGGCCACCTGAGATGCCCAGGGCCAGTGTGGGATGGCCAACACCACCTCTGAAAACCTTTCTGGGGGGCAGGAACTATCTCAAATATGTGAGCAGCTGAGCCCCATCCCCCCCCAGGATTTCACCTCCCCTCCTCTTTCCCCTCACGGGTTTGCAGGCGCGGCCGCTGAGAGCCCGGGGGGGTTCCTTCGCCTGGTGGGCAGCCCCAGCCGCTGTGCTGGGCGGGTGGAGGTGCTCCACAACGGGACGTGGGGGACAGTGTGCGACGACGGCTGGGGTTCCCCCGAGGGCCAGGTCGTGTGCCGACAGCTGGGCTGCGGGACAGTGCTGTCAGTGGCACCAGGAGTGCGGTACGGAGAAGGAACGGGACAGATCTGGTTGGATGAGGTCAACTGCACCGGGGAGGAAAGGAACCTCTCTGAATGCCGAGCCAGGCCGTGGGGGGAACACAACTGTTACCACGTGGAGGACGCCAGTGTTGAGTGCTCAGGTAGCCCAGGACAGCAGCCATCTGGCTGTGCACCACCTCCACCCCTCCCTGCTACACCAGCCGTGACGCACAACCCTCCTACGACTGTCCCCTTGGGGTACCCACAGACTCCAGCATCACCGCCCTGGGCACCCTCCAGCTGCTCAACGGCCCCAACCGCTGCGCCGGGCGGGTGGAGGTGCTCCACAACCACATGTGGGGGACGGTCTGCGACGATGGCTGGGACCTGCTGGATGCGGCAGTGGTGTGCCGGCAGCTGGGCTGCGGCACAGCGCTGTCAGCCACCAGCGGGGCTCACTTCGGGAGGGGTCACGATCCCATCTGGTTGGACGAGGTAAACTGCGCTGGCACCGAGGACACCCTCTTCGACTGCCGGGCCAGCGCATGGGGGGACAACAACTGCTTCCACGGGGAGGATGCTGGAGTGATATGTTCAGGTAACTCACCTAAAGCTGCAAGAGGGGTCCATGTCAAACGTTTAGGGTTTCCTAAGGGATCATGGGATGGCTCCTGCTTACCCCCCAAGGGTGCTTGCCCCCGCATCCCCTTTGCCACTCTGGGGAGCACTTGCAGCACCCAGGTGGGCAAGTTGCCCTGCGAAGCCTTTGCCCACCTCCTGCTGCTGTGGATCCAGTGCTAAGCTGCCGGAACAAAAGGGCCCTTCGTTTGCAGTTGCATGCATGAATTATCAAGGACCTGCCCCAAAGCCTGGTTTGACTTGGGGGCAGTTAGGCTGTACCATGCAAAACTTTCTGCAGGTGTAATTTTCCCTCCCCAGTTCCTGCCCATCCAGCCACGTCTGTCTCGGCCATCGCCTGCAATGAAGGGCTTTTGATGGGGTATTTGGTGTGCTCTTTCATTTGGGCTGCACAGCAGGGAGCAGGAAAGCAATAAAGTGCCTTTGCAATAACGTTCAGCACAGGGGCCAGGGCAACCCCCAGTATCAATGCAGGCTGGGGGATGAAAAGATCAAGAGCAGCCCTGCAGAGAAGGACTTTGGGGTACTGGTGGATGAAAAGCTGGATGTGACCCAGCAATGTGCACTCGCAGCACAGAAAGCCAACCATATTCTGGGATGCATCAAGAGAAGTGTGGCCAGCAGGTTGAGGTAGGGGATTCTCCCCCTCTGCTCCACTCTTGTAAGACCCCCCCTGCAGTGCTGGGTCCAGCTCTTGGGACACCAACATCAGAAGGACATGGACCTGCTCGAGTGTGTCCAGAGACCACGAGGATGACTGGGGGGCTGGAGCACCTCCCCTGTGAGGACAGGCTGAGAGAGTAGGGGTGTTCAGCCTGGAAAAGAGAAGGCTCTGGGGAGACCTTAGTGTGGCCTTTAAATACTCAAAGGCAGCTTATAAGAAAGATGGGGATAGACTTTTTTATAGGGCCTGTTGCGTTAGGACAAGGGGTCATGGTTTTAAACTAAAAGAGGGGACATTCAGACTAGATATAAGGAAGAACATTTTTATGATGAGGGCAGTGAAACACTGGCACAGGTTGCCCAGAGCGGTGGTAGATGCCTCATCCCTGCAAACATTCAAGATCAGGTGTAATGGGGCTCCGAGCAACCTGGTCTAATTGAAGATGTCTCTGCTCAGTCCAGGGGGGTTGGACTAGGTGAGCTTTAAAGGTCCCTTCCAACCCAAACTATTCTATGATTCTGTGATACAGTAACTTTACAATAAGGTGACTGTGCAATAAAAGCCCCTTTGCAAAGCCACCCCTCCAAATTCACTTTTAAGGGGATTCTGAGCATTGCAGGACTCGGTCCCCAGTCTGGGCACTCACCATGCATGGAGGATGCTCAGGCTGGAGCGGAAGCAGCTATGGCTCTCACTTACCCTTGTATGTTGTTGGCAGCTTCAGGGGTGTCCACGGCCACTGAGCTCCGTCTGGCCAACGGTTCGACGCCCTGCGAAGGCAGGGTGGAGGTCCTCCACAACGGCACCTGGGCAGCCCTTTGTGACGAGGGCTGGGGCCTGGCTGAGGCTCGTGTGGTGTGCAGGCAGCTGAGCTGCGGGCGAGCACTGTTGGTGCCTGACAGGTCACATTTTGGGCAAGGACCTGGGCAAACGTGGCCCAAGAGCGTGAGCTGTGTGGGCACGGAGACCACCCTCTCTGCATGCAAGACGAAGCCCCAGGGCAACGGCACTTGTCACCATGGGAGAGAAGTTGGTGTGGTGTGTACAGGTAACCACCTGGGGGTGGTGGATCTTGGTCCATGACCTTTATTTTTTGCCTTTGCAAGCAGCCCTGGATAGCATGACCTCTTTGTGGGCGTTTCCGTCACAGAGAGTTATGGGGTGTCTGGGGGGCTAGAGAAACTTTGGACATCCTCCTGGAGGGGTCAAGTCTGATGCAAGTGGGTGGGATGCTACTGCATCAGGCTCGGGGATCAGCCAACTCCTTTTTGCAATGATTAGACATGCCTGCAGCATTTTGTGCAACACTCAGCTACCTGAGAAGGTGCCAGAGCAGTTTTCCTTACCCAGGGGACACAGCGTGCTGGACCTTCTCCATATTTCCCTCTTTTAGGTAACTCGGAGGGCGACCAGGTCCGGCTGGTAAACTACGGCAGCCGCTGTGCTGGCAGGGTCGAGATCTTCCATAACAAGAAGTGGGGGACTGTGTGCGATGACAGCTGGGACCTGCTGGATGCCGAGGTTGTCTGCCGGCAGCTGGACTGTGGGCACGCACTGTCGGCCCCTGGGGGGGCTCAGTTTGGGCGTGGCGACGGCATCATCTGGATGGATGAGACGAACTGCACAGGGACAGAGAACACGCTGTCTGACTGCTTGGGCCGGCCGTGGGGCATCAATAATTGCTACCACGGGGAAGATGCTGGAGTGGTTTGCTCAGGTGACAAGTGCTCACTCCACACGAGGCGGTGGGGAGGGGGTCTGTGTCATGTCTGCACCCCCAGGTAAGACTGAGGGTCAGCATCAGCAGCCAGTGGGGTTTTTGCAGACCCCCCTGCACCTAGTGGTCCATCAGAGGGCAGCTCCTCCCATCCCAGGGTGTTTATGTAAGGCGGTGGGAGGCATTCCTACAGGGATCCCTATTTCCTGCCCTTCTGTGAACCCCCCTGCTCCAACATCCAGACCAGCTCTTCGCAGGGAAGCTTGTCAAAAGCAACCCGCCCAGTGAGCAATTCTTGTAGGGAGTGGGGCTGGGGCCCAGGAGGGTGCAGGACCAGCATGGACCACCATCTGCAGGGAGATGCTGTGGTACAGGGCGCTCCTGGGGAGAATTTTGGGTTTCACTCCTCCTGTTCTCCCACCCTCTGTATCTTTTGGCAGCTTGAAGAGGGGCTGGGAGCTTAACTGCAATTGGATAAGCATGGAGGGAAACTGGTGTCTGTCTGAAAGCATAATAACTCTCTCGGGTGTTCGCAGACTCGATCATCCCTGAGCCGGCTCATCTCCGACTGGCAAATGGTTCGCACCGCTGCACTGGCAGAGTCGAGGTGCTTCACCAGGAGGAGTGGGGAGCCGTCTGTGACCATGGCTGGGATAATCAGGATGCCGAGGTCGTGTGCCGGCAGCTGGGCTGTGGGAGGGTGCTGCCAGCAATGGAGGGGCTGGACTTTGGTTCCGGGCCCCCACGCATCTGGCTGGACAATGTGAATTGCCAGGGGATGGAGCCAGCCCTTATAAAATGCCAGGCGAGCCCATGGGGAGAGAGCAGCTGTGGCCACGGGAAGCACGCCAGTGTGGTATGCTCAGGTGGGTTTCACTCTGGCACCAGTAATGGGTCAGGATGCACTGGTAACATCCCCCATCCCAGTTGGGAGCTGTCTTCACCCCACTTGCTGCTGAGGGAAGTTCTTCCACGAGGTGGGGATGAGATGCTGTGGGTTCAGAGGTGATGTGACCAGGCAGCACCATCTATGTGCCAAAACGCAGGGTCCTTCTTCCTCCCATGAAGGGGTTGGATGCTCTGAGCATCTCCCTGCCTGTTGCAGGCTCGGCTGTTTCCAGTTTCGCCCCAGTCCGGCTGGTGGACGGCCCAGGTCGCTGCGCTGGGAGGGTCGAGGTGTTTCACAATGATAAATGGGGGACAGTGTGTGACGACAACTGGGACTTTACGGATGCCAAAGTGGTGTGCCAGCAGCTGGACTGCGGGATGGTGGTATCAGCTCCGCGACGGGCTCGCTTCGGGGAGGGACAGGGACCCATTTGGCTCAACGACGTGCACTGCTTGGGGACCGAGGCAGCCCTCTCCGAATGCAGAACCAAGGGCTGGGGTGTCCATGGATGCGAGCATGGAGAAGATGCCGGTGTGGTGTGCTCAGGTAACCACCACTTGTTGTGGCACTGGGAGCACTGTGGGAAACTCTACCACGGTCCTCCTGTACTGACTCCGCTTTCCCCTAGGGGTGCAAGGGTTAAGCCCATGCTATCAAGCCTTGGGCACCACTTGGGCTAGTTCACATCACACCTCAAAGATCTGCCCTCTCTGTTGTTGCAAGAACATCCTTGACACCCAAGGCTACTCACCCTCTGGTGTAAACCATTGCTGGCAGCCAGAGGTTTCATGGGGCAGAAGGTATGGCCTTAACGTGTTCACTCTCTGATGTTGCAGGATCGGGCATTTCTGACCTCAGAAAGCTCCGTCTGGTGAACGGCTCAGACTCATGCTCCGGGAGAGTTGAAGTGTTTCATGACCAGCGCTGGGGGGGCATCTGCACCGATGGCTGGGACCTGGCCGAAGCCCACGTGGTGTGTCGGCAGCTGGGCTGCGGGGCGGCGCACTCTGCTGCGGGGTCTGCCCGGTTTGGGACAGGAGATGGCCTGATCTGGGTGGATGCCGTGGAGTGCACAGGAACAGAGAGGGCCCTCTTCGAATGCAAGGTCAAGTTCTGGGGCGCTGAGAGCTGCAAGTCAAGGGCACATGCAGGAGTAACGTGCTCTGCGGCTGCAGGTCAGTGGCGGTGAGTCGGGGATCAGTCCTCCCCTGGGGGAGGCTGTGCAGTCTGACCAAATTTGCTCATCCAGCTCCCCCTTGTCCTGGCTCAACCAGTCCTTGTTCCTGTGGCCCCACCAGAAGGAACAAGGTCTTTTGTGTTTTGAGGTCTACCTATCCCTTGCTTCCTTCCAGCAAAGTGCTTGGAAATCCCAAGCCTGTAAAATGTAGGTTTTCCATCCCACGCAAAGAGCCCTGGCACACCAGAGCTGCAGCTACCCCTTGTGGGTTTTTTTGATCCATGCTACCACACAGCATCTAGTCCTCAGGGAGTCCCTTCTCCTCACCAAGCTATTCCTTGCTCAGGTGCACGATGCACTTGGTGCCTCCTTGCCTGCTTGTCTCCACGGGCATACTCATATCATGGGAGCTCCTCAGTAATTTGGCCAAGTTGACGATCTCCTGGGCATGGTCCTAGCAGGCTTCTCCCAAAGGGTGCTCATGCACGCACGCCCAGGGTGCAGCAGTAGCAGAAATGCTACATGCTGGTGGAGGCCTAGCAAGGGGAGGTCCATCACGTTGCCGGCTGCTTGACAGACAAGCATTTCTGGCCAGAATTTATTGTCCTCTGATTCTGTTTTTAGACTTGGACCTAGGGAGCTCGGAAGCCCTGCGGCTGGTGAACGGCCCGCACCGCTGTGCTGGGAGGGTGGAGGTCTTCCACAGCCACCAGTGGGGGACCGTCTGCGACGATGGCTGGGACCTGAACGATGCAGCTGTGGTGTGCCGGCAGCTGGGCTGCGGAACAGCCATGTCAGCCCTAGGCCTGTCTGGTTTTGGGGAAGGATCTGGCCCCATCTGGCTAGATGGGGTGAGTTGCCTTGGAACAGAAGCCACCCTCACTGAATGCTCGTTCAAGCCTTGGGGACACCATGCGTGCAACCACGTGGAAGATGCCAGCGTTGTATGCTCAGGTAACCCTCACCACATGCTGTCTCTGTAAGACGGACCGAGCCCTATCCTTCTGCAGGCTGGGAACAAGCCGGCCAACAAATTGCCCAGATTAGTAGAAGGTGCGTTAAAATAACAGGGTTCAGAGACGTAGGAAAACACGATACATTGGGAAAAAAGCAGCATGGCTTAAGAAATGCCTCAATGTCTGGCACCATTGGAGGTGTTTTCATGGGGTGAGGCACCTGCAGGGAGGGTGCATGGGTGCTGCTTGAGTGGCAGCAGATGCAACTGTGCCCTGCCCCAGCTCAAGAGCCAGGCAGAGCGATTTGTGCTGCCGGCACTGTAAAATGCCAGGATGTGCAGATAAACGCAGACAGATGCACTGGAACCAGCTGCTCTCATGTGATACACACTTCTGAGCTAGCTGCTACAGGTCTAGCTTTGGCCTCAGAAGGTCAATGTAGCCGTCAGCTGTCACGACAGGGACAACTAGAAAAAGATCCTTTGCCATTGCCTCTAGGGCAAGAAGTGGGTAGCACCAGGTGATGAAGCTTCCAAGCGAGGGGAAAGGAAAGCACGGAGAAACACTGGGGAGGACTCTCGGGCACCTTTTCATCCCAGCATGGTGTTCCTCAGGTGGAGACACGCACACTTTCTCCTGTCCTGGACTCTGAACCAGGGTGCAACACCCTGAGGGTGCAACTGGTGGATCTTCTGCAGTTCCTTCCACCCTGCAAAAACGCCCGTGCTCACTTTGCTGCAAGTCCCTGAAAAAGGGCAAGGGATGTGCAAGCTCGCTGTAGCAACACCACCCAGACCTGCTGTGGGAAATGTCCTGCCCTCTCCAACCCATCAGGTGTTAAGATGCACAAGCACATCTCTAATAATGCCCATTTTTTGCTATTTTTCAGGCTCAGGGATTGCCAGCATCCCCAAGCTTCGCCTGGTGGGTGGTTTGGGCAAGTGCGCTGGGAGAGTTGAGGTGTTTCATAACAACAACTGGGGGACGGTCTGCGACGACAGCTGGGATCTGAGTGATGCCGCGGTGGTGTGCCGGCAGCTGGGCTGTGGGGTGGCCCTCTCAGCCCCCAGCTCGGCTCAGTTTGGGTGGGGAACTGGCCCCATCTGGCTAGATGATGTCAGCTGCACAGGGAAGGAAACTGACTTCTTCGAGTGCCCAGCTAAGATGTGGGGCAGCCACAACTGTCACCATGGGGAGGACGCTGGTGTGGTGTGCTCAGGTGAGAGCTGGGATGGGGCTGGCCGGAGGCAGAGCTCCTGCTGGTACCCAGGGGCAGCTGGGCCCCTTCGGAGGAGATGCTGCGTGCAGGGCTGGTGTAGGGGCTCCTTGCAGCTCTCACCCATGTGTATCTCCTGGACCTTCACCTCAAGGCCAAGTGCAAGGTCCTGCACATGAGTTGGCAAAACCCCCAGTATCAGTACAGACTGGAGCATGAAGGGATTGAGAGCAGCTCTACGGAGAAGGCTGGGGATACTGGTGGGTGACAAATGGGACATGAGCCAGCAACATGCGCTTGCAACCCAGAAAGTCAATTGTACCCTGCGCTGCATCAAGAGAAGTGTGCCCAGCAGATCGAGGGACACCCGCCCTCCTGCAGCCCTGGGGCCCCCAGCACAAGGAGGACACAGATGTGTTAGAGGAGGTCCAGAGGAAGCCATGAAAATAGTCAGAGGGCTGGAGCACCTCCCCTATGCAGAAAGGCTGACAGTTGGGGTTGTTCAGAGAAGGCTTCAGGGAGACCTTACTGCAGCATTTAAATACTTAAAGAGGGCTTATAAGAAAGAGAGCTAGAGACTTTTTACCAAGGCCTATAGTGACAGGGCGAGGGACAATGGTTTTAAACTAAAAGAGTGGAAATTTAGACTGGACATAAAGAATTTTATGATGAGGGTGGTGAGACACTGGAACAGATTGCCCGTCACTGGAAGTGTTCAAGGTCAGGTTGAATGTAGCTTCAAGGCCCTGATCTAGTGGAAGATGTCCCTGCCCGTGGCAGGGAGGATCTTTGAAGGTCCCTCCCAGCACAAACCGTTCTGAGTCAGTGACCCTGGGGCAGCCTCCCCACGGTCAAATGGCAGCACCCAGCCACATCAAACCCTTTTGGTGGCCGAATGCTGGCCCTGTCCTGCTCCTCCCTGGAGATGTGTGAGGTGCTGAAGGTGGCCCAAGGATGCAGGCAGGGTGGGGCCAGGGATAGGGGGGTGCCCTCCAGCCATGTGTCCACCTATTTCTCTCTCCGCAGAAGCAAGCAACTCCAGCTCCGTCGACCTGCAGCTGGTGGACGGACCACACCGCTGCGCCGGGAGAGTGGAGGTGTTCCACGCTGGGCAGTGGGGGACGGTCTGCGACGACGGCTGGGACCTGAAAGACGCAGCGGTGGTGTGCAGGCAGCTGGGCTGCGGCGGAGCTGAGGGAGCCCCCCCCCAGGCTCGCTTTGGGCAGGGCACAGGGCGCATCTGGCTGGATGATGTGGCCTGTGCTGGGAGTGAGGATGCCCTGGCCCAGTGCCGAGCCCGTCCCTGGGGGCAGAACAACTGCAACCACAGAGAAGACGCCAGCGTGGTGTGCTTAGGTACATCCATCTCCCGCAGCATGGGGTGTCCTAGGGGGGTCAGGGGTGTCCGTCCTGCATCCCGCTGCCTCCGGGGTGGTGCTGCAGCCCGGTCCAGCCCTTCAGGGAGTGGGAGCGGGTCCTTTTGCCCCAGCCCCGGGCATTGCCACCAGCACCAACCCACTGTGATGGTTTTGCTTTCAGGCACCGGCACAACCAACATGTCGACGGTCCGGCTCGTGGGCGGCCCACATCACTGCGCTGGGAGGGTGGAGGTCTTCCACAACGAGCAATGGGGGACAGTCTGTGACCACGGCTGGGACCTGAGCAATGCGATAGTGGTCTGTCGGCAGCTGGGCTGCGGGGCAGCCGTCTCAGCCCCTACAAGAGCTTTCTTCGGGAGAGGGCAGGATCCCATCTGGCTGAACAGTGTCACCTGCGTCGGGACAGAGCATGCCCTCGTGGAGTGTCAAGCCAGGCCCTGGGGAAACAGTGGCTGCACTCATGAAGAGGATGCCGGCGTGGTCTGTGCAGGTGATGCTCATTCCTGTGGGGCCCTAAAAGCACAGCTTTGAGCTGCCCCTCCCAAAAAACAAAAGCCTTTTCCTCTCCAACCTGACCTCAGGAGCACTGGCTGCAGGAAGGAATTTCAAGGGCACAGGGGCTCATCCCCTTGGCAGACAGTGTTGGCTCCCATCCCCACACCCCAGTAGCCCAGGAAGCTGCACCAATCCAACCACCCTTGGCACAGCTGAGCAGGGAAGGGGAAAAGAGGACATCAATACCCAGTTTGGGATGCGGGCTGCACTGAGACTCTGCTGGATCCCAGCGAGGCTCTGAGAAAGGGGATTTTTTTCTCCCCTTCCCCATCAGGGACTGAGTCTGGAGGCCAAACGTAGGTGCCTGGTGGTGCTTAGGAAGCCCCAGGGGCCCACACATCTCTTCAGGCAGGGTCAGGCCAGGGTCTGTCTTCCTGTCCCACCAAGGCTGGGCATCTGGCCTAGGTTTGTACCCCGGCTGCTGCCACCAGAAAGCCTCCCCTGGACATGTGACCTTCTTGTCCTCAACGCTGCATCTCCCATTTCTCTGTCCACAGACCTGACCAGGGCAACGGTGGCTGAGGTCCGCCTGGTACAGGGACCAAACCGCTGTGGTGGGAGGGTGGAGGTGCTCCACGCTGGACAGTGGGGGACGGTCTGCGACGACAACTGGAGCCTGAACAACGCGGCGGTGGTGTGCAGGCAGCTGGGCTGCGGGGCAGCCGTGGCAGCCCCTGGCAGGGCTCACTTCGGGCAGGGGACGAACCGCATCTGGATGGATGATGTGAACTGCACCGGGAGTGAGGAAAACATCGCCCAGTGCCAAGCCCCTCCCTGGGGACAGAATAACTGCCACCATGGAGAAGATGCCAGCGTGGTGTGCTTAGGTACATCCCATCCTGCCACACAGGGAGTCTGGGGTCCTGTCCTTCCTCGGCTGCTTTGGGGTGATGCTAGATCTGGAAAGGCAGGATTTCAGAGAAGGGGGGCTGGCAAAGCCTCATAGCCCCTTTTTGGCCAGTCACATCCCCAACCCAGCAACAGGTTCCCACCGCATTCATAACATCTCATCAAAACCTTCACACCCCCCTCTCTGTCCTACTACGAGAGTCAAGCCCTGTCCCCAGGCAGCCTCCTGACCCCAAATCCCCAGCCTGGTCCACACAAGTGTATGGAAGACACCACCAGTTTAGGGTATGAAGGTGCACCTGAAGCACACCCCTACAGCCATGCTCTTCAGGAAGGGGTGGGGGGGTTGCACCCCTTGCTGGGGGAGACCATAATGACTCTGTATTTGCACTTTGGCTTCTGGTTTGAGAATTCTGGTTTTTTGGCAAGGTGATGGGTGTCCTGTTCACCTTTCCTAACTGTATTTCTCCTGGCAGATGGCAACGTCACAGAGGAGGTGCAGGTCCGCTTGGCCAACGGCCCGAACCGCTGTGCCGGGAGAGTGGAGGTGCTTCACCAACAGCAGTGGGGGACTGTCTGCGATGACAGCTGGGATCTGAAGGATGCCAAGGTGGTCTGCCAGCAGCTGGGCTGTGGGACAGCCGTGTCGGTCCCACACCAAGCTCATTTTGGGCCAGGGTCGGACCCCATCTGGCTGGATGACGTGGAGTGCACTGGCACGGAGACCACCTTCTCCCAGTGTGGCCTTAGGAGCTGGGGACTCCATAACTGCAACCACGAGGAAGATGCAGGAGTTGTGTGCTCAGGTGGTGCCCGGGGGGATGCTCAGATGTCCTAAAGAAGGGTTTGGTCTGGGACTGGGAGGCTGGCAGCACTGGTGGGACATCACTGATGGGAACGGCCTTGCAAGGGAGCTGAGGGGGCAATGGTGCAGCAGGTGCAAGTGGCACATGCCACACACACGTGTGCGCCCTACACACCCCTCTCTGTCTGCCCACGGGGTTGGAGGGGCTGTCTCACCCCCTTTGCTCCCTCCTGCAGGCACAAACCCCTTGCAGCTGCGGGTGAAAGATGGTCCCAGTTCCTGTGCGGGGCGGGTGGAGGTGCTCTACAACGGGACCTGGCACGGAGTGTGCGGCAGCGGCTGGAGCCTGCTGGAAGCTGGGGTGGTCTGCAGGCAGCTGGGCTGTGGGCCAGCCCAGTCGGCGCCTGCTGGAAACCAGTTCAGCCGTGGGGACAGCCATGCTTTGCTGGAGGGGCTGAGCTGCCAGGGCACCGAGACGCTGCTCCTGGAGTGCCAGCAGAGAGGGATGAGTCCGGGGCCGTGCAGGCAGGGCTCAGCGGCCGGCGTGGTCTGTGCAGAACCAAAAGGTGAGCGCTGGGATCCCCTGTGGTGGCTGCAGAAGGGTGGGGGGGAAAGGTCCCAAGGGGAGAAGAAAGTAAAAAGGTGGTACCTTCATCCTGGCAAGCCCCCAAGGCCCTTTCCTGGGGGATGCACCTCATTTTCTGCCACCCTTGGGAGCATCGGAGATGCTTTTCTGACCCCAAAACTCACCCCTCCCATTTCTCTTGGAGCCCAAATTTCCTTATTTCCCCCCCAAACCCTCTGGGCTCCCTCCAGGACCAGCCCCTATTTTCTGAGAGAGGTTGTGGTAGAGCTGGGTCAACCTTGAAGGATGGTCAGAAATAGGCCTGGGCGAGCTGTAGCACCCCACGTCCAAGGCGGGATAATGAACCGTACAGCTGACGGGGGTTGTAGGAGCAGCAGGAACACGGAAGGTTGCTCCGACCCCCCCATCCCATCATCCACCCAGGGAAATGGGTCTTAACGTGAAGCCTAATTAAGCAAATCCCATCTCAGCCACCAGCCGAGCTGCTGGGGTAGGTCAGGCTACGTTAAGCGTTTGGCTGTTACTGGTCTTGGCTGGAAATGGGATCCCGAGTCTGCTCTCCCCCCAACCCCAGGTGCTTCATCATCCTGCGCGGGGCTGATAGCGCTGCTGGCACTGGTGATGCTGCTGAGTGGAGCCCTGCTGTGGCTCAACCTGAAGAGGAGGTGCCTGGCAGCAGCTCACGCTGGAGGTGACAGTCCCACCCCTCTGTGTCCCCACTCCAGCCACCCCAAAACACCCAGGGGGATGCTCAGCAGCTGTCAGAGCCTGGTGACAGCCTGGTGTCCCCTCCATCTCACAGCCCCCTGGCATCAGAGAGCTTCAGCGACGTCCTTCCAGCCCGCCATCTACCTCCCCACCAAGGCAGAAGCCCCTCAGGACGCCGAGACGATGCAGCTCATGAAGGAAGATGCTGCCCCATGATGCAGCCCTCCCCCAGGTTCATGCCCCGGTGGTTGCACCAGGCTCCCCACTTTCCCCAGTCTGCAATCCTGAAGACCACAAAGCAGCAGCTGATGGGCAGGACATTTCAAAAGTAGCTGGTGCCAATGACTTCTACCAGGAGCCCCAAAATAGCCGGCCAAGGGGGCGTCTCCCAGTCTGGTGAATTTAATTAACCACCTTCACAACCTCAGAGCAGCCCATGTGGCTCAGGAGGAGCCCGACGAGCCTGGCAGACAGTGCAAGGCTGCACTAAAGGAGCAGAGGAGCAGAAGGAGGGGTACAAATGAATTAAAAGGGGGCCCCCAACCCTCTAGGTGTGACGGGTGTGAGTGCTGGGGTGTGGGCCATGAGCTGCTTTTGTGCTCCTCTGCCACAGCTTCCCCCTGACCTTGTATGGAGGCAAGTCCCCCATTTCTTGACCCTCCCCAGGTGCCTGAGCTGCAGTGCACTTTATCCCACAGCCCCAGATACTCAGTCCTCCTCCCTGGATCCATTCTGGGGCAGCCACAGAGACCCATTCCCCTTGCCCCACACCCCCAACCTTTGACCCACCCTTTAGGACCCAACCATGCGGAACCTCCCTGCTGAAGTTCACGGGGGCACAAAACATGCCCTTGCCTAGTAGCTCATGGTTCTCTGCTGGCACCGCATGCCTAAAAGCATCCCAGTGCAGAGGGACACCACTCCCAGCCTCGCCTCGGGGTCCATCAGGCTCACAAACTGAGGGCTGCACTCCCAAAGCACCTGGGATGAGGGGGGCGAGGCCAGGAGGCCCAGCAAGCAGAGGTCCCAGCACCAGGAGATGGTGCCAGCCCAGACAACCGACACCTTCCTTGCCAGAGACTGAAGTGTGGGTACGCCATGCCTGGTCCTCCCTCCAGCTTCCCTTGGGATGAATGACATCCCAAAACTGGGAAAGGCACAGAACCCTTTTTTCCATTTCTTTTTCCTGACGCTTCAGAGGGGTTGGAGAGCACTGTTCCCAAATTAAGAGCAAAATCAGGGCTGCTTGGGGTCCACCACATTCAGAAATAAACTGAAAACCCTCCACAAGAGCCCCTGTGAAGTTGGCCCCTAGATCCCACCTCAGAAACTCCAGAGATTCACCAGGTGCTGGAGCAATGGAGCAAACACCTTCAGATGGACTGGGAAAGCTGGGCAGTGCCAGCATGAGATCACCCCTCAGGCCATGGCCAACAGGGGAGCAGGGGTTCTGCAGGGCATCCAAGCAGCACAAAACCGGTAATCATTTCCTCCAGCACCAAGGCCATCCCCTTCCTTGCCAACTACCAAGCTGGTGCTGGCCATAAGGTCATTGTTTGGTGACCTTATCCATTGCCTGGTGACCACCACCGCTTGATCATGCAACACATGATCCCAGCAGACGAGAAAAGCCACAATCTCTGGGAGCAGACAGCCCGGGGCTTGACCCACCAGAGATGCTCCTCTCACCCCAGCCGAAATGCAGATCAGGGAGGTTCGCTCGCTCTGGCCTCCAGGATGCCCAAGGCTGGAGATCCCACAAGGCAGGATGCCCATCAAAGGTTGGGGCTTGTCCAACCACAAGAGCACCACCTCCCTAGAGCCAGACGAGATGCCCTCAAGCACCCTAGACACTCTAGGGAGCTGGCATGTAGGACATAGGGACCATAAGAGACAAGAGCTCTCCTGGAAGAGGAGCTGAGGGCCAGCTGGGTACCCTAGATCATCTCTGACAGCCTCAGCAGTTGGATGCAACTCCAGATTCTGACAATTGCTTGGACACCCCCTCCCTGCCACCGCAGACATGTGGACAAAGCAGATCTCAGGATGGGAACCTGATGACACATGTCCACCACTGGCTGAGCTACAGAGAACGTTCAGGGACAGGCTCAACCCCAAAATCAAATCACAACCTCATGACCCATGGCCAGGAACAGATTTATGAAGAGGCCAGACCTGCCCCAGTCCTGTTTCAAGGGCTGAAATGGGAGGAAACTGGGAAGCTGTGGGGCAAGGGAGAAGACCAACAGGACCAGGCGGCCTATAAGCATCCTTGCAGAGGGATCCACCAGCCCAAATCCCAAGACGGCCTACTGGCCCACCCTGCACCCATCTGTGGTGCGTGGGCTTGGCCGTGCCGAGGGGGATCCACGCCACAGCCTGGATCTGGGGTCTCTCTTTACCACGTCTGCAGGCAACACGTGCAGGTGACCTCCCACCCGCCCGAAGGACGCTGGGGAAAGGTACCACGTGGGAAGGAGGCAAGATCACCAAGAAATGTACCAACACCGAAAGCCCATGTCAAGACCCAACCAGACGTGGCTGTGAGCTGGAGGAGGCGATGAGACAGAGTCGTCATTAAATAACCATCCTGTAATTACTGTGCAGAGCGCCAAGGAGCGCGCACATCCCACCCCCCCGTTCCCAGCACTACAGGGACCGTACGAAAAGGGGGACAGGTCGGACCCAGGATCTCCGGGAGTCCAAGGGACAACACAAGGGCAACGGCGCGGGTGAGGACAGTGTTTTGTCTCACCCCTAAGAACAAAAGTCCGCATGCCAACCCCCACCCACAACCACCGGCCATGGGGGGACAAATCCAGGCTCCAGCAGCAGCATGGGGGCAGCTCCGAGAGGCAAGAGGAGGATGCAGGGGGCCGGTCATAACTTGCTTGGCCGTACCCCATCCAGGTTCCTGCCTGGAAAGTCCCAGGAGCGGTTGGAGAACTTACAGCACTGGGCATCACTTGCCGAGACTCCCAAAGTGGACGGCAGCAGCATTTCCCCCCACTTTCTTCTGCTCCCTACCAGTCCTGCCAGCACCCTGGGGCAGAAAAAAAGGGGGTGATTAACCACGTCATTAGCAGCAGCATGAGATATGGACGGGACATGTGAACCCAAAAAGGTTTTGGAGGAAAGGAGGTGCCTGCTCCTCACTCTTCCGTGATCCTCCTCGCTACCCGTACCATCATTCTATCTCCCCCCTCCACCAAACCCAAGCAAGTCTTCCTCACTGCAGGCAACAGTGTGCCCCAACTCCCTGGGAGCCCCCAGCCCCGGCTGAGCCACGCTCACTGGGATGACTGGGGAGGGAGACCTTGGGACGACCTGGGGGGGTCTCAGCCCTCCTCCTTGCACAGAGCAAAGAGGAGGGCTCCTGCCTGCCCACTGGCGCTGTGCCACAAGCCACAGCATGCCACAAGCCACAGCACACCACGAGCCACGGCGCGCCTGCCAGGAGCTTGCAGCCGCCTCAGCTCACAGGCTGGGGGAGCATCCCACTGGGACCACCCCATGGAGGAAGGAGGAGAGCATGGCGTGGGTCCAGGTTCAGCAAAGGGCTGCAGCTCAGGAGAAGTGCCGCAGCTTTTCAGGGGCCCGCGCCAGTCTTTGGACATGTGTACAGGGTCCCCCGGCCTGGGGCCCATCTGCTGTTGGTGGCGGCGTCTTTATGGCCGCCATGGGCTGGCAAGGCCGTGGCTGCGCTCGCCGCGCCGGGGCTCAGCCATCGCGGTGCACGCGTTGGTGCTGCAGCAGGTTGGAGGGGTGAGCGAAGCCCTTGTCGCAGACACTGCACTTGTAGGGGGTCTCACCCGTGTGCACCTTCTCGTGCACGGCCAGGTAGGCCAGGTCCTTGAAGAACTTGTGGCAGAAGCTGCACTTGTAGGGCCGCTCCTGGCTGTGCACGCGGTGGTGCTGCAGGAGCAAGGAGGGCCGGGCGAAGGCCTTCCCGCACACCTCGCACTTGTAAGGGCGCTCCCCCGTGTGCGCTCGCTCGTGGATCACCAGGTAGGATGACTGCTTGAAGGCCTTCCCGCAGGTTTTGCAGACGAAGGGGCGCTCACCAGTGTGCACCCGCTCGTGGGAGGAGAGGGCGTTGGACTGCTTGAAGCCCTTGCCGCAGAGCGGGCAGACGAAGGGGCGGTCGCCTGTGTGCACCCGCTCGTGCACCTTGAGGCTGTGCCCGTAGGTGAACTTCTTCCCGCAGACACCGCAGACGTGGGGCTTGTCGTCGCAGTGCTGGCGCTGGTGGAGCAGCAGGGCATTGGAGGTGGGGAAATCCTTCCCGCAGTCGGCGCACTTGAAGGGCTTCTCGGCGCAGTGGGTGAGCGCGTGGCGCTGCAGCTCGTAGGGGGTCTTGAAGCTCTTGGCGCAGCGGGGGCAGCGGAAGGGCCGCTCACCACTGTGGATGCGCCGGTGCTCCTGGAGGTTGGAGGAGCGCTTGAAGCGCTTGCCGCAGAGCTCGCAGCGGAAGGGCCGCTCCTCCGTGTGAACCAGCCGGTGGCTTTTGAAGTCCGAGTGGCGCTTGAAGGAGGCCTGGCAGAGGTCGCAGCGGAAGGGACGCTCCTCGTTGTGTACCACCTCGTGGCTGAAGAGCTCCCAGGCCCGCTTGAAGGCCTTCTCGCAGACGCCGCACTGGAAGGGCTTCTCGTCGACGATCACCTCACGGATCTCCAGCTCGCCGACGCTGCTCGCCCCCCGCTTCGAGTGGGCCGGCAGCCCCACCGCCGCCACCTCCTCCAGCTCGCCCACCGCACTCCCCAGCACCAGCTTGGCAGTGGAGTAGATGCCACGCTCGTCGATCAGCTGCACGAAGTCCGGCTTGGGACGGACATCACCAGGAAGGGGCAGCTCGGGGGAACACGGCCGAGACCCTCTCTCCTCCTCCTCTTCCTCGCTGCTCCGTGGCACCTCCTCCAGCCCATTCTCCATCACCCTCTGTCTGAAGTCGCCTGTACGGCCCCAGATCAACCGCAGCCTCTTCCCCCGGGAAGGTCCTGGCTCTTCAGTGCTCTCCCCCCGTCCTGGGAATGTGGAGACGCGGCTTGTCTCAGGCTTTAGGCACAGCCGGTGCTTCCGCCGGCACGGCCGCAGCTCCCCCGGCACCTGGTGGCACGGGGAAGCCCCCTCATCCTCATCAGTCTTCTGGCAGGGCCGGCCTGCGCCCCGAGGGGTGAGAGAGCCCTGCCCGCGGCAGCACCGTCCCGAGCGGCGTGGAGAAGCTTGTCCGAGCTGCAACGGGGAGCCTTCCCTCAGCTCTTCCCTCAGCTGCATCCTGGCTGCATCTTCCTCCTGAGCCTCCTCCTGCACTCCTTCACCTTCAGGCCCATCTCTTTCGGAAAGCGGGGAGAGCCTCTGGGAAAAGGGGCACTCGCAGGCCGGAGGACCTGGCTGCCCCTCCATGGCAGCCCCTGCAAAAATGAGAAAGAGCGTGAGAGGAGCAACAGGCTGGAGCAAGACTGTGAGGGGGGAGGCGTGAAGATGAGGATGTGGTGGCAGCAGCGCAGAGGGAGGTCAGAGACAGGATATATAGGAAGGGAGGGGGAGGAGGCAGATACAGACACTACAGAGAGTTTGCAAAACCTGGCATCACCAATCCCTTTCCGCTTCCAGGGACCAGGGTGACAGGCAGACCTAGCGTGAGAGATACAGCCCAGATTGGCACTTAAACACCATTTTACCCGTAAGCCTGTTACTAGCACCCAAAAGCAGCTGCTATTCATAGCAGGAAGGGATTCACTTCCTTGCAGGGCCAGCTCATAGTTACCTGGTCAGAGCAACAGCCGAGGGACCAGCCCCAACCATCAAGGGCCACACCGGCTGGCCAGCAGCTTCCAGTTTGAAAAGCTCCTCGGAGGGTGCTTGGTCTCCCCGGGTGGTTACATGACCCTTTGTCTGCAACAAGGAGGTGCCAGCCCTGTCTCAGGTAAACAGGGATTCAGCCCCCAGCTCCTGGGGATTCCACAGCACGACTCGGCTGTGGAGCGGATTGGGGTGGTTTTTCAGATCACTTTCTCAGCAAATGCTCCTCTCTTAGGCCGGTGTTTCTCCAAGCTCCATCCACCACTGGGTGGTTTAAACCAGGGGTTTTGGAGGGGGCTCCTCTCGGGGAAGGGATTAAAGTGTACAGGCAGCACTTGCAGACCTTGTGAGCCAGAGGAACGTAAAGAGGCAAAGCAAGAAAAGCACAAGGGCAGCAAGGCAACATATTTGGGGGAAAAACAGCAAATGTCTGCTGGAACGGAGCTTCTACATGCCAAAGCAGAGAAGATCTGGGGGGTTCAGCCCAAGACAGGCAACCACGAGGGTCCCAAAAAACCTTACGTGCTCCTAAAACAGAGCAGACGAGGTATTCCCCGAGCGGGCAGCGCCGCGGCCGAGCCAAACCCCTGTGAAAACAGCTTTGGCAAAGATGGGGCGATGGCAAGTTGCCATTTCAGTCACAGAACTGCTCGGGACGACCGGTCCTACCCGCGGAGCAAGAGCTGGGGGTATCACGCGTAGCTGTGAAGGAACTGCTGCCCGCAGGCTCTAAATAAAAGCGAGAAAATACGTCAGGAAGGGAAAAAGAATAATTTCAGTGGAAGGACGGGGTTGGTGTGGAAGTGAAGTGGCAGCGGGCAGCAACAGAGGAATTTGCAGCAGCACAAAAGGCTCCAACCACAACTGTGTAGGAGCTGCTGGGCCAAAAATACACGGTTTTTTTCACCCCCTGCCACAGAATCAGTGACGCCCCCAGCCCACCCAGCATCCCCAGTGCCTGTGGGATGGCCAGGAGCCCCACGCAGCCCAGGTCATCACCCCTTTTCCAGTCCAGAACACCCCAGATACTCCCAGCGCAGCCCAGTCCTACCCCAGCATCAAGGATCCTCCCTGCGTAGCCTGGTATCCCCTCCCACCCCAAGAACACCACAAGCCTTCCCAGTATGTCCCAGTCTCCTCCGGTATCACCCAGACACTCCCACCACATCCCCCTCCCAAAACCCATTATAACCAGGACCTTCCAGTATGCCCCAGTCCCCCCACTATCAAACAGACCTCTCACCTGCTCCCTCCCCTTTATTACAACCAGACCCTCCCAGTACATCCCAACCCCTCCCAGCATTAACCAGACCCCTCAATTCATCCCTTCCCTCACCCCCACTACAACCAGACACCACCAGTATGGCCCAGTTGCCCCAAGTATCGACCAGACTGTCTCATCTCTTTGGCCTTCTGCCCACCATTACAAGCACAAGCATGTCCCAGTCCCTCCCAGTATCAGACCCTCTCGCCTCACTGACCTCCCCTACCCCATTCCAACCAGAATACTCCAGTATGCCCCAGTCCCCACCGGGGTCAACCACACCCCCTCATCTCACTGCCCTTCCCCACCCCATGCCAACGAGACCGCCCCAGCACGTCCCAGTCCCCCCATCTCATCCCTTCCATCCCCACATTACACCCACACCATCCCAGTATGCCCCAGTCCCCTCCCAGTATGCACACGGGCGCTCCCATCTCATCTCGCCCCCTCCCCATTGCAACCAGTCCCTCTCCCAGCGCTCCCCAGCCCCTCCCCGCCGTCACGGCCGATCCCAAGCCGTTCCCTAACACCCCCCGTCCCGGAACCACCGCGAGCTGACCCCGGCCCCGCATCCCGGCGGATCCCCGCGAGGGAGGGGCTGGCGCGGCCCGTTCCCCCCTTCCGCCGGT